TTTCAAACTAACATCTAAGTATAGAGAAGAAATTTGCTATCACCAAAAAATTATTAAGAGATATTTATTGTAAACATACGCAAAAATCTGACCATTATTTGCAAACAAGGTAAACTCCAATATTCAAAAAAACACAAAATAAAAATATGTCACTACTCGGCTCTAGTTGAAAAATTATTCAGAGTGTGTATATTCTGAAAAACATACATTAGATAATAATAAATTAAATAGCAAGAGACTTGACTAGAGAGAAATAAATAAAAAAAAACGTGATGATAATTCAAGACGGAGTCATAACCAAACAATTAGCACATAATTTTGTTTGTCCAATACATTCATCATGACAATAGGCACCACATTTTTTACATGCAATCATTGCTTTACAATCACACGTACATTTATATTGTACTTTAGTTGTTGATGATGTTATACTATCATTAATTGTTGATGAAAATTTTTTCGATATATCATTTGTTATATTTAATATATTATTATTCGTATTCTGTTTAGGTTGAAACGATGAAGTTGTTAGTGGTTTTTGTTGACTAAATTTATTCGTATTACAATAGGATATTTGATCACATGTTGTTGTTATATCATTTGAAATTGTTGTATTCAAAGATGTATTGTTTTGTGTAATATTTTGTAAAGGAACAGTTGATTTTGTCTGTGCATTCAAATTTAATAATTTTTGTACAAGATTCATGTCTACTTGTCCATTTTGTTGAATTAAATCACGATGAATTATTTGTAATAATACTTGTTGCTGTTGAGATGTTAATGAAAGAGTATTTGGAGAAGTTGGTGTTAATACTTTTTGTTGTAATGATTGATTAGAGATCAAACGTGACTGTGAACTTATTGGATGATTAACAGATGTCATGGTCGTTGTTGTTGTTGTATCCGATTTGATTGTATTAGCCATCAATTGAGATGGAAATACATACGACGAATTATTATCATATAAACCTAGAATTAAAATTAAGATTAAATTTATTCTCAATATTTAGTTATAAAAAGTATTACCTATTTCCATTGTATTCGGACACTGTTGTTGTTGTTGTTGTTGCTGCTGTTGCTGCTGCTGTTGAACTTGATAATTAATTTTTGCAAATTGATTTCTTGCTACAGCTTTTAGAGCGAGTGCTTGTGCATTTTTTGTTGTTTGTAAATGATTCAGTTGGCCATTATTGACATTACTATTAATGGGATTATTATTTTGTGACGATGTCGTAATATAATGATGTTCAGTATTTTTAATTGTATTCATAATTTGTTGCTGTGTATAATTAAAAAATGGTTTTGTTGGTGAAAGTTGACTATTTTGTTTCAAATTCTCCGGTAGTAATACAATTTGCATGGGTTCAGATTTATTTATAGTTTGTTGTTGTTGTTGTTGTTTATGCTCATCGGCTAACGTTGTCCAATTAAAACCAGATTGTTCAGTTTTAATCATTTGACGTATTTGTTCATTGGTGGAAACATGAAGTGGTTGTTGTTGATGTATTAACAATCGATCAATACTGGTATCATAATTATTTTGATCATTCGATACCGATTGTTGAGCATTTTTTTTCGTTGTTTTTGAAGTTGTAGAACGGCGGTCTTTTTTTTGAATATTCTTGGTTATGATTGTGGTTGAATCAGTAGAATTTGCTTTTTTTGGTGATCTACGAACTTTTCGTTTGGGTGACGTTGTTGTTAGAGATGAAGTAGAATATTGATGTTGAAGAGGACTCGATGTCATCATCATGGTATTTATACTTGGTAATAATGTTGTTGAAGTGTTCACAGTTGTAGGATTACCAGAGGATAAAAATGAGAAGAAATCATCTTCTAAGGGGATCTGCGACGACGTAATTGTCGGATTCGTATTCGGTATTGAAGATTCTATAAAAAAAGAAATGAAAAAAGAGAAATATTTACAAAATGATGAATCAATCAATGTTCATCGATTAATTACCGAGATGTTTTATGACAGCCGTATTTTGAATGGTAATAGGTTCTTGATGAATGGTCATGGTGTTTAAACTATTCAATGTAGCTTGTTCTTGTTCTGTTTGATGTGTTTCACCAACAGATTTTAATTCTTGTAATATACTATTAAAATCGACACATTCTGTGCTAGATTTTCGTCGTAGAGGTAATTGTTGCTCGTTATTAATTGATGTTTGTCTCGTTGTATTAGAATTTGATTGTGTTATAACTGCTGTTGTTGTATTTAATTGATCGTCTGTACCAATATCAAATTGATCTTCTAACATTGAAACAGTAAATTGATCAAATTCAGTTGGATTTGTATAACATTGATAATTATTTAGATCGTTTAAATCATAGTCGTTAAATACAAAATCAGTTAATTCATTTGATGTTTGTTTCTGTTGTGATACTAATGTTGCTGTTGAACAGTTGATCTATATAAAAGAGAATTATAGTGTTAGAGATAGTGTTTTACTGGAATGTGGATATCAGTGAAAAGCATTTAGTGTTGAAGTTATCTAGAGTAAATCTTTTTTCTAGCATGAAAATAATAGATGTAGATCAATCACTTCTTTGTCATGAGAGAATTGTTCACCGTTTTTTTTTTTTTAATTTAGAGGAAAAAAAATGTAGAAAACGCTTATCATCGATTTTATCAAAAACAAAATATCATTTTTGTAAACGTTTTAGACACTTGAAACTGATATATGATCAAAATCTGATTAAAGAAAAAAATATTTATAATATTTTTTTATTTATTCAGACTTATCAGTATAGACGTGAAAAAGAATTAGCTGAAGAAGAATCGAAAATCAGATAATATGTGTTACCTAGATAATTATTTATATGTGTGTATATATAGTGTCTTCCGGTAATGTACTGATCAAAATGAGTAGTCAATCATTTTTCTAATCTATTAATTATATATAATCAACCGCTCAAAATTTTAGTAAACAAATTATTATTTTTTTATTACATATGGTTTCTCATTTTAATTTCTATAATCGATATGTTTATATATATATGAGCATAGTTAGTCTTTCCCTCTCATTCATTCTTTCAATGAGTCTGTATTGATCAATATTTTTTCTTCTTCGAGATTTTTTTTATTTTATTATTATTTTTTTTTTATTTTTTTTTTTTTATCGACTACGACCAAGGGGTTCATCGTTGCTTACTGCTTTCCTCTTTTTTACAACTTTTTCTCATTCCTATACCTCCTATTCTTCACCTCTTCTCCCTTATTCCTTACATTCTCGATGTCAGCCAGACATCTGCATATTGTGTGTGTGTGTGTATAGTCCTATCTGTCGAAGTCTTTTCTTTTTATATTTTTTTCAACGATTAAACACAGTTTAACATTTTCGGACTTGATTTAGTAAATACATATATATGCATGTACACTGATACACAAACTATATGCAGTCATTCATTATTAATTTCATGTTCACTTTCTTTTAACAAGTAAAATATCTATATATCTATATACACAGACACACATATATGAGAGGAACAGTAGAACGAGAAGAAAAAAATGAATATTTTTTAATCTTGAGTTCTATTGTTTGAACAAGCGAAAAGAAGAAATTACGCTATTCTTACGCTTTCTGCTATAAGTATTCGATTATATATCTATGTCATGAAACCTAAGTCACAAAAGAATAGAGAAGATGAGAAAAAAAACCTATTTTAGTGTAATTTTTTTTAAAAAAACACTGTTAAGAAGAAGAAGAAAGAAATCCATATGATTCTTACACTCTCCTTTGGTATTCGCTTTAAACATCTAATAACAAAAAAAATACGATATATTCGATTCGGCATTTTTCTCCATTTTTTTAAGTAGAATTAAATAAGAAAGGGAACAAAACGAACTGAATTTTGTATTTGTCAATGAATTACTCATTTTTTCTCATCTCTTTCTTTTCACATTATTAGAAGGGAGAGAGAGAGTGAAAAAAGAAAATCAGCAATAGTATATAACAAGTGTCGAACTGATCAAGTTCTTTATGAAAAAGAATAAAACATAAATCTTTGTGTAATAACGGGCGGAGACAAAACAAAGAAAAAGAAGAAAAGTCATCCATAAACCTGAGCATATGTGCATGTGAATATATATGTATGGGCTTATTGCTTGTAGAAAAGACGAAATAGAAACACAATCATTTCAATGAATAGTTTCTTATATCTATTCTTCTTTTCTTTTCAAATAAAATTCAATGAGTTTTTCTCTTCACTGTTATAGTAAAATCTGATTAAAGGTCTCGGTAAGTTCACAAATATGACAAAATCTCACTGTTTTTATGTGCAACTACATTTCCATTCTTCTTTTTCTCTAAACTAAACTCTATAAAATTTGTATCATATTATAGACTATGTTCATTTATCTTTTCGAAATACTTTTCTGCTTTGCTTTCTCTCTAGCGCTAAACTAAATAATATATTATTTACGTACCATTATGGGATCATTATTAGGTGACGAATTGACGGTTTTCTTGAATGATGAAAATAAGTTTTCTTGTTTTATTGTCGGATTTTCAAATGGTGAAAATAAGTTGTGTTCTTGTTTTATTGTCGGATTTTCAAATGCTGATTCATTTTTTGTCGAAGTCAACATCATAATTTTATTATGTGATCTAAACAAGCGACGGTGATATTTATACGAGTGACTTGACCTGCCATTATGCTATTCATACCGAAAATCTCGAAAAATAAACTGTCTTTTGAATCGTTCTTAACTTTCGCAGTAAAGTTCGATAGATTAAATAATGGTAAAAAGCATTTTTCAGACATATTTCCTTTTTTCAAAGGAAACGCCGTTACATTAGAAGAACGATTCTATAGCTTATTTTAACGAAAAACTCCAAAATTGAATTGGAAAAATTATTTTAATAGACCATTCGGTAGATCTTGACGAAGTCCATCTGATCACACTGATTTTATTCATTTGATCAGTTTTTCATTTCGATTTTGAGAAGAAAAAGGATCAATCATTGATCTTGAGACCTGGATCTAATTCTTCCAACAGCGTTAAAAAGTTCTATTTGAAAAATATCCAGTTAGGTTTCATCAAGACAAATCGATTGATAGTGAGTCTAGTTTTGTTGCAGTTTTTATGGCGAAAGTGTTTCTCCAATCTGTGAAAAATACACACAAAAACGAACAGAATGAATATTCGTAAGCAAAAAGTTCGAAAAAATTCACTAGGAAAACGAAAACGAATCATTATTCCAATTTTAAGTTCTGAAAACGAAAAGTTTTTTAATATAACTTTCTATGAGAAAATCGTTTGAAGACATCTTTCTTCAGGGTGAAAAATTCACTTTCTATTCTTTTCTTGGTGTGCATTAACAACAAGTGCAATCTTGCGAACGATAAAAGTTTAGAAACTTATTTGTTTAGAGTGATAGAGTGTTGAAGTTAAATGTGCAAAATAAAAAAAATTATTCTTTCTTAAGAATTATCAGAAAGAAAGTTATCAATTTTTCATTTATGAATAGGAGCAGTGTGACGAGAGCGCAAATGATTCATATATATACGTTCTAAACCAGTTAAGCATACTCAGATTCATGTTGTTGATTGTTCTTCATAAGCGATAATTCCAACTGTGTTGGCCTTGTTTCAAATGAATGATGCATTCGATTTTCATCAACATATTCAATACATTCTTTCTTCACCTGAGCAACAACTGCTAGTTCTAGAACAGAAAAATGATTAAATATAAGAATTAAAATATGTCGTTAGAACATATAAACCTGTTGTTTGCTGTTGGATGCCACCCGCTATAATATAAAAGAAAGTTAATGAGTCTCTTTCTCAACTGAAGTTGAATTCAGTTGTGCTCACACCTTAGACGTAAGCACAAGGCGTCACGCCTGTATTCATAATCAATAAGGAATATACAAGTGACGATAATAGTGTATTTACCTTTTCGTTTTAGAGCAAGTTGTTCACGAATTTGTGCCAGTGTACGTGTTTGTTGTGGTGGTGGTTTTACGGGCTTTGTAGGATTCATATCATTGTTACTTATTGATTTGTCTATATGTTGAGAATCTTCATGATAGTAATGATTATTTGATAATTCATATGTAGGTGAAACACTTTTTCGGGGTGAAGAGTATGAAGGATTTGTTGTAAGCCTTTCTAATGTTACAGATTTTTTATTACTAGTTGACAACGCTCCTTGATCATTGGTTTTACGGCCAAAATAACTATTGTTGTTGTTATTATTATAACAGTCTTCATTTTGTTCTTCAATATCACTCGACGCATCTTGCTTATTTATTGGTGGTGCTGTCTGTTGTTGTGTTACACTTAAATTTCCATGACTATTTGTCACTTTTGTCATTTTCTTTTGACTGAAAATAGAAAGATTCAAACCTTATAATTATAAAAGACATTGTATGTTTCAACTTCGAGTGTTAAGAAGAATGAAGAGAGTGATGTTACGTGACATTGCAATGAAGCAATTATATTTTGCGAAACATGCAATCTAGAAGACACGTAGCCATTGGATCTATCTGGTTTCTATCAATAAATGGTCACTTATGTTCAAAATGTTTAACTCAACATATACCAACATACAGTAAACGCATCCAAGAGGGTTGTTATTAAGACGAAGAGAATGAGCCCCATACAAAGAATGAGCCATTGTAGTACTGCAAAATTTGAAATTACTGCAGTAAGTAGCACTGCAAAAATTCTTTATAATGACACAAAGTCAGAGGTGAAAGACTATTTACAGAAAACTTTAAAAATGAGATTGTAAAACACTATATCTGAGAAAGGAGCACTTAGTATAATGTCTCCGCGGGAGTCTCTTCTACTCAAGAAGTATCACAAAAAATCTATCATATAATATGAAAAACGATGACTACCAGAAAAGATCTGAAAAAGAACTATAATACATTGAGAAGTACAGATATACTCAAAGAGTTTTTTCTGAACGTCAGCTCAACTGGTGGTCTATAGAAGACAGAAGTGGAACTGTTTTCAAATCCAAACAACTAACTTTTCTGTAATACTATTTTTCTTGTGGAAGTATGCTGTATAGACTCGAAGTATTATAAACGAGAAAGCAGAAGTCATCATTAGGACTTTTAAGGGATCTTGCCACAAAATTTTGCATATAACATGCAAAACATGATCACAGTCTATTTCAGGACTAAATAATGTAATCAACAGCTCATCGTTTTGAAAAAAAACAAATCAATTTGACAAGAATATGTTTTATCTCAGAAACAACAAAAAAATCATTAACATTAAAACAGTTGCATTTCAAAATGATCACAAAAGAAAACGTTTTTCGAAACTTATTAGCAGCAGTAATCGATATTCACGGAGCTCTTTCTGTTGTACAAGATTATCAACTGTCACTTTTTGCCAAGAGCTAATTAAGCTCGATTTTAATTAGTGACAGAATGTAAACAAGCGCAAAAATTTGTAAAAATCATTCGTTTAAAGTCTTACATTAATAAGTACACAAACAACTTGAGCTGTAAATATTGCAGTAGCAAGAGGTACTTGCCATTAAATCTAATTTATTTAGAATTTTCCTTTATCTCATTGAATTTCAAAACAGTAAAGAAGAAAATTGTTTCAGATATTAAGTCCCGCATTTATTGGAATAAATAAATTAATTAATTCTTTTATTTTGATTGGTGGATCCATCCGCCATTTTTCATGCCGTATTGATCCTGCACTTCTTCTGATGCTCTAAACACTAATGCACTCTGCTACTGTAATTTTCTATCAAAAATTTTGGAAAGAAAAAAAATCGGCCTTGATTTTTCTAGCAACATCATGGTGTACAGATCCTGTTCAAATGGTGCATAATATAAGATTGCGAAAAAAACTAGATTAAGCCAATTTCAAAATAACTTTGTCGAAATATAAAACGTAGCTTGTGTTTATTCTACTCATTTTCATGATTTAAGTGAATAGAACTTTGTCTGCTACTATTCTGACTTGCTCTTACTGCTGTTCGTTAGCCAAACAAATTTTAAAGAAAAGGTAGTTGATGTGCTCTACAAAACGGCTAATTTAGAAATTATTTTCGAGAGTAAAACTTTTGCTTTTAGAGTGATTTTTCAAAACCGGTCTAAGAGAAGTTTTCATTATTATATTCCGAATTAGAAGCATTTCCTATATATCTTTTATGCAAAAATCACGTGTAAATTTGTGATGTTTTTCTAAGTTACTATAGAAAGAGGACTCCATAGAGTTCTTAAAAACTCAGGAAAGCGAGGAGGCAGGTCTACGAGTGGTAGATTTTAGTGGAAGGGTGGTGAGGTTTCCCCGGATGAGATTAAGTCAGGAATGCCAGATATCTCACTTGTTGCGAAAAATTAACTTAATTTTTTATCCTACTGTCCAACAACACATGACGATTTGTCTCATTTTCCACCTTCGTTTTCTGTTTTTCTCGCGCAATAATAGAACATGAAGACACCCACGTACACCTATAAATAGTTCACAGGTATCCAAGTGATGTGCTAGTTGAATGGACAGAAGTGGTTCTGTGTAACTGTTGGGGGGTGTCACTCATGTTCTATTAGTGTGCAAGAGAAACCGAAAACAAAAAGGTGACAGCCGTCATATCGTCATGTTTTACTATTACTTTTTTCTCTGCAAAATTTGTGGTGAATATACTCGAAAATATGGAGGCTGTAGCAGACTGACTATCGACATTCTTACAGTTTTTCGCTTCAGAAGACTTAGACTCATTGATTTTCAGGTAACGACTTTCAGAATAACTCATGAAACTCATTAGAGAAAGAATAAAACCTTCTCGATGTGTTTTTAGACCAAATGTGGATCGTTTTGAACGTTCCTCAGAACTTTTACACTTTGTGCAACTTCGGCATAGAGTTGCTCGGAAATTTCAAAATTTTCCAGGTCAACCCTATGCATTCTCGACATACGTAACATCTATATTTTCACCAAAATTAGTCTTGATTGAAGACTTTCGAAACCGCTTGAAATCTTAGTCAAATCCCATGAGATTTTGTATTTTTTTCAACTATTTGATCCAAACCATTTTTTGGAATACTGCTGTGTATAAATTGATTCTAGTGAAACTTCTTGTAACGAAGATCTCAAGAACTGTTAATTACTAGAATTCAACAAAATCCAAGACTTTCAAGATCTCAGGGTGTTGAAATATCGTGATTATTCTCACCAAAGATTTGAATAGAGACGAAATAATTTGAAGTAGCTTAGATCGTTAGAACGCATTAAATATGAAACATTTGATTATTTTCATATTTAACACGTTCTAACGATCGTTAGCTGCTTCAAATTATTTCGTGGGAGAATTAACCGTTTTTTTGAAAACCATATATTTAAGTTTTTGTGCATTTTTATACTTCGTTTACAAAAAAAACAATATATTCGAGATTAGTATTAATTTCACTTTAGAAAATGCAGCTTTTCGTCTCATCTTTGAACATTAAAGTCCCAAATTTCTCTTGATTTTTGGTAAAAATGTCTTACTTTGGAAATTTTCAACCTGACAACTTGGACCGAGATCCTATAAGTAAACTTTTTCTGTAAAAGGACTTTGAATACATTTTATTTCTATCTTCGTTCAGTTGGTTTGAATTCAAACAAGCTTAAACTTGTTTATTTTTTTCTTCTAAAAAACACGTTTTTATTAGGCTTTTTAAACAAAATTTTTCAATGGTATTTTGAGTTTTCTCTTACGAGAATCATAGATATAAATGCTCTTTCAAATAATATTTATAATAATATTTGTCAAGTCGTTGAATTAACGTTCAAGGATATTGGATAAGAACATGTTTTTGCTATGAATGTTATGAAAATAGCTTAATAAAAGAAATAGTGTTTTTCTACGTATATTTGTTAGAGGCCATGTGTTCTTAAACACAGTGACAATATATTTCTTTTTCCCTTTTATTTAGTCACATTTGTCCATTTTCTTCTTATTGTACATAGTTTTATTATACATTTGCTTTAGTCAGAGGATATTTGAGTTTACATTTTACCTTATGCGCAAAGCGTTATCTGTGATATTTTTATTTAGCTTTCTTATAAACAAAGCAAAAAATAAGCAAGTACCATCGTGAAGCGTGAAATAACGCTTACAAAAAACTTAGTTTTTTTTAATATCTGTGTCATGACATTTTAATCGTACTCAAAGATCCTAAACCTAGATTTTTTTACATAGGCTGCCGGTTCAACTTTTTTTGTATTAAATCTCATACACACGTGTTCTCTTTAAAGAAAAAAATTAACATATTCAAATATGTTTTTCTACAAATCGAGAAGAAAATTTTCATTTCAATCAGAGTAACATAGAAACGCGTTTAAAATAATAACCTGTTTAAAAATCACTAATGAAACTGAAACGCTAATGAAACTCAGCAGAGATGCTGTTAAAATATATTTAGTTTAAATTAAACACGTTTTTATGAGACTTCAGCAAATGCTGTAAATAGATATTACACTTTAGAGTGGTCTGGAACTGAAAGATTCTTCGAGATAGTGCGGATTCAATAAAGATAGTGTATGAAATAAAATCTATAGAGGTATTGTGAAAAAACTAACTTTTTAGGATAATTTTTCGCTAAATTTTCAGTTATTCGGAGAGTGTGCATTCTCCCGATATTTACGGTCCCAAACTTCAGACAAAACGTTTTTCACTACTATTGTAAAGGCAAAACAATTTTAATCAAAATATGAAAAATACAAGGGTTTTATATTACATTCCATAAATATAAAAGTAATTTAATTATTGAAAGAAAGCTACTGATATTTTACGATGTTATTTTTACGCAATGCTCAAGATGTGAATATTAAGAGTTCCAATCCGTTTAGTTCTTTCAAGAACAGTTGAGTAACATGATGAGTGTTTTTCAATATTTAAACTTCAAACAGTCTAACTGTTACACAGTTTTCGAAATCACTCGTAATACTTGTTCTGGTATGTACGTTCCATTGAAACAAAAACCTTTTTCTCGAATATTGTTATGAGCTTTGTCATTTGAAAATCTAGCGCGACATCTAACATTATGTCTGATTTGCTCTCTTTTTCTTCCACATCTCATACTGGTATATTTTGATTTGTCGAGAGTTATTATGACGTACGAGTTAGTGAATCTCTCTTCTATATTCCCACAACACCACAGAGTTTCTAACGATTGTTGAGTGGAATAATGTAAATTTTGTCGGACACTTACTGGTTAATTAGAGGATTTAGTAGTCATCTTGTTTCTAATCTGAAATCCTGCACGAAACAACGGTAAAATATGTTGCTTATCTCAAAAACTACTAAATTATATATATTTGATTTTTAGATGAATACTCATATGAAGGATGGAGTAAGTGTGTGCCTTCTTTTTATGGTACAAAGTACATGTTTGTTTTTTATATTTAGACTACGACGGCTGGAGATGGCGGTGGTGATGATGAAGAAGGAGATGGTGTCAATATCGGTAAAAAACATAAATTAGGCCATTTACGTGTGGACGGTGAAGGCAATGTAACCTTTAAAAGACTACCCACAACACAATTAGTTGAAGCATTACAATTAGGTATACAATGTATAGTGGGTGGATTACAAGCCAAAGCAGCAAGAGATGTCTTATATAAGGATTTTCTCGATATCGAAATTATTCATTTTCCAAAGTAAAGAAACTAATACCAAATTCCATATTTACAGATCTTCTATCTTCCTAGAATAGAAATATTTTTGGCTTTAGAACTTATCGAAGTTGCTTTATAGACGATGTGATTGTGGTGACTTCCTGGAAACATCCTATAATAACGTCTGTCGAAGCACATTCAGACACTTTTTGTGACTCTTTCACCCTCACTTTTACGACAATTTTTTTGATTGCTATATAGCATATTTTTTTGTTTTCTAGAGAGGGTACAAGAACAACTCCTGCTCATAAATTTAGTGATTTTACAATTCGTTCTTATGCATCAGTGGCATTTCGACATTTTCGAGAATTATTCAATATTAAACCAGAAGAATTTCTTGTACGTTATATTATACGAAACCTGAAACAAAAACCAAATTCTTATTAGAAATTTTTCTTTATAGCATTCCATCTGCGAACCATTGAGAGAATTACGTAATCCAGGTGCTAGTGGTAGTCTATTTTATTTAACATCTGATGATGAGTTTATATTGAAAACTGTACAAAAGAAAGAAGCAGACTTTTTAAGAGGTTTATTACCAGGATACTATATGGTAGAGTATTGAAAACTGCTGTGGAGATATATAATCATGTGTTATATTTAAGAATGTCACACAAAATCCACGAACTTTATTACCAAAATATTTTGGCTTCTATTGTTATCAGGTAAATAACTGGATAAGATAATTGTTTTACTCTTTATAAATTCAAAAAGATAAAGTTCCAGTATGTAAAGCTCCACTAGAGAAAAAGAAAAAGAAGGTACCCATCTACTCACTGCAACTATTTAGGTCACCGAATTCATGTCGCGAAAACATGAAGGTCGCTCTGTAAGTGATTTTTTTTTGTGTAATTGCGTGTGTCTAAATCACTATTCTAACGAAAAAAATTCAGTTTAAACTGGATTCTAAACTTTACCTTGATTATTTACCAATACAACACTGTTTATATTCTGTTTGTTGAGTCGTGAAAGAGACATAGTCACTCTTGTTTTTCCACATTCTTACATTAAAAGGGGTTTCTTGAAGATAAAACTCTACTAGATGATTCCTTTTTCTCTAATTCATCCTAGTAATAAGAATATATTAGAAAAAAAAATAATTTGATCCTTTTCTTTTTGTAGTTAACAATCATCGTTTACATATTATTTTGTAGTATTTTGTCTTTCTGTTAATCTGTTAATTGAATACAAAGCTCTAAAACTAGGCACGCTAATTAAACAGTTGCCGTTGTCATTTCGTCTCGATTATTTGATTCCATTGCTTGCTGGCGAATCATGTTCAATGAGTGTGTGTGTGTGTGTGTGTGTTATTCAGTTGAGTTATTGTTTGGATTTTCTTTCTTTTTTTGGCTCACTACTCGTGTATGTTTCAAATGAAAGAATGAAAAAATGGTTAAATTAATTTTAATTTTAATTGACTACTTTTCTTCAGGGTGAAAATAAAAATATTCGTATTGCTGTTATGAATAATTTAATTCCATCTCAAGTACATATGCATGAAAAATATGATTTGAAAGGTTCAACATTTAAACGTCGTGCATCAAGTCAAGAACGTCAAAAAGAATCACCCACATGGAAAGATTTAGATTTTATGGAACGTCATCCGGATGGTTTTCTATTAGATGTAGAAACATATAATGCTGTTGTCAAAACAGTACAACGAGATTGTCGAGTATGTTTAATGAAAGATAAATTATTTTGTTTTTATCAAGTTCTAGATTTTAGGTTTTAGAAAGTTTTCGAATAATGGACTATTCATTTTTGATTGGTGTTCATTATATTGATCATACTATAACGGGAGACAGTGGCATAACAGTAAGTTATCTACCAGAATAATTGAGTATACATATATCTAGCGACTTTTTTATTTTGCTTTTAGGAACGACTTACTGGTAAATAAACTTAAAAAAAAAAACGTTAGTTTTCTACTTTCTATTTAATTTAGATCCATCTATTGTTCAACAACCAAAACGTATGATGTATTCAACGCCAATGGATACGATAAATGCCGAATTTGAAGTTCATAATAAACCAGATGATTATCTTGTTGAAACGGGTGGAATACCAGCTCGAACGGCCAGTGGTCAACGCTTATTATTATATATTGGTATCATTGATATACTACAATCATATCGTCTACGAAAACAACTTGAACATACATTTAAATCCGTTCTTACTGATGCAGTATGTAAAAAAATAAAAAATAAAAAAAAATTATTTGTACTATAAATTTGATGTTCTAATTTCTTTCCAGTCAACAATATCCGTGACAAATCCATCTTTTTATTCTGAACGATTTCAACGTTTTCTGTGTAATACCGTATTTAAGAAGATCTCACGTAAGTATTTTTAAACTAAAAGAAATTTTTTAGGAACCGAAAACAGACTTCTGTTGTTGTGAGCTGAAAATACTTTGTGTGTTTGTAGTATTTTTCGACAATGTATGTAAGTTTCTGAACGTAAGAGTAAGCAGAGAGTGCCATGATATTCTTCTTCATGCTTTTTGAGCTTTTTTCATACCAGTTGTGAGGTTTATTGCTGATGTGTGTGTTCATGCTCAATTTTATACACAATAGGAGTGTGCAGTGATATAAAGAGAGCTATAGAGAACCTTGAATTAAATATTTGCTCTTTTATTCAATTTAAAAAAAATAACTAAATATCTTTAGTTTTGCAAAACTTTTGCTAAAGTTTAATTAGATTTAACATAAGAAGAGAACTCTACACTAGTTTTTTAATGATATCATATTTTGCATTAATTTGTTTTCGCTAACGAGTGACAGCTTATTTATGTTAACATGCTTTAATTACGTTAGAAATTTTTTTCTCATTCCAATGACCATTATAATGGTGGCTTTTATATATACAATTTTTGGAACTCTTGATTAATTTGTTTTAAAATTAAGGTGATACTGGAGCAACAAAGAAATTTCGCACAATTGCCTTACTTGGTAATAAACTGACACAAAGATGTTTTACAATAAAAACCAAAATTGATGTTGTTCTGTGTTCAAATGTTGTTTAATTTTGCTTATCTAATTTTTTTTTCTAGTATATATAGACACATCATTTTTATTGCAAAATTAATGTGATTATTTTTATCTTTCCAATATTATTTGTTGTGTTCCTCACATTTTCATACTCAATTAAAATGTTCTTTCTAAAATTATTTTCTGTTATAGCGTTACGTGGTTCTCCTTCTAAACGTCGATCGAGAATATCGAAAATGATATCACAAACGGAACAAGGTCGGTAAGATACATAGGTTGATAATATATTAAAGTGTGAGCATGAAATACTTTATTCTAGATCCCACTATCGTTGACAATGAAACAGTATCCATTGACAATGTTCAAGTCCTTTATCCACGAAGTCCACCTGAAGTACCACATTATCCAATCGTAGGAAATCGTACAAATTATGCAATTCAATCTAATACGTATGTTTAATTAAATTATGTTAACTGCTCAAGTACTATTGTAATATTTATCACCTTTTTAGCCCGTCACCTGCTTCACAACGTCGACACTTTTATTCTCGCTCACCAGACGAAAATGATCGACAATTTCGAATTCCACCATCTCATGTCATTAATAAAACCGATGTTCAAACTACAATTTATCCACCATCTTTATCTTCTTCGGTTGTGTCAGGACAATCCCGTTATCATTATCCAACAGATAATGATCTATTAGACAATAATAGTCATATATCAACCACAAATTCATCCTCAGCATATTATTCTGATTCAATTACATCTTTGTCAAAAGGTGGAAATCCGGGACGATTAGTAACATCATCGTTTTTGAGACAACAACCGGAAACTGTTTTAGCAGTATCAAATAACGTTTTGACGGCAACAACAGTAACAACAGCAACAACAGCAACTGATTTTCAATTTCGTAAGCTCTAAACTATAAAATGAGACTAATGTTGTTTGAAAAGTTAGCAAGTATTGCTAAGTTTTCTATTTTTTCTTTTTGAGCGAAAAATCGCGTCTCAGATTCTAACAAAACTTTGTAAAGTATCCTTTATGCATATAAATGAATTTATTTGGCAAATCTAATGGACGGTATTTAAATAATCATGCTCTATAAGAAAAACGTTTCTTGAGATTCTTAGAATGAACTCATACCGTTTAGTTACTATAGTTATTACAAACTTAGCAAATACCTGCTATATGTATAAGTGCGCGTAACTAATCAGGCATGAAATTGATTTAATCGTCATTAAATCACAATTTAACTTATCATTCTCTTTTTTATTGTTTGTAGGAAGTCATCATCGACGAAATCCACAGACAACTGTCAACTATGCTTCGACAAAGCATCGACCAATTAGCACCACATCATCTCAGTTAGATGAACCACCGGTAGTTATTCGTCTTTAGATTGTTAGTGCTATCCATCTGGTGTATGTTCACCCTTTGGTGTTAGATAGTTATATACGTATATGTTGTTGTCTTATCTATCTTTAGAATCAGCTCATATTACGGGTTTGTCATTAAATTGTTTTTTTGCTTTTGTGTGTGTGTGTGTGTGTGTGTGTGTCTATACACATAAAGATCGCGTTTGAACGTATTGCTGATACTTCCGACCACTGTTTTGTGTGATGATAATGCTTATTGCACTTGAGTTTTGTAAGTACTACAGCAGAGTCCCGCAGGTTGTCACTTTTCGGCAACCTATAATCTCACCTATAAGAAATTTCGCAACCTAGCCTATGAAGTCGGCAAGCTAGTCCTAACCTAACCTGTGATTTCTTGTTTTCATAAAGGAAAAGATTAATTGTATGAGTTCAACATCATTATTTTAAAACTTTTATTTAAAACAGGAGCTTTCGATTACAACTGTAATCATCGTCAGCTACATTTAGATGAAAAACACTCACAGTATATATATATGTTCATTTTACTATTCTTTTCTGTTCTCTTCTCTTCTGTGATATTAGAATATTCTTTTTCATTCTCTTAGAGAAAATAGTGAAAAATTCTACGAAATATGCCCACTATATATATGTACGTTAGAGTGAGAGAGAGCGCAGAAATTCATTGTTGTTAAACGTGAAACTTAACTCAAAACTTAAAATTGAAAGTGAGTTTGAATATTTGAGCTGTTTAATTAAACACCATAAGCTCATGGCTTATCTTATTATATGCAGCAGCTTGATGCTTCATTGTAATTAGCTTCTTGTTTTTAACCCCCAGAACGTTACACCAAAAGTAAACATACATGTCATTGAGTATTCTGCCTGTCAAAGAATTAGGGCGTGAACGACTCAAAATCAGAAAAAAATTTCGCTTGCGCAAAAAGTAGAAAGAATTCGAAAAAAATTAAAACACAACATAATCTAACCTATAACTTTTGTAATCTAATCTATAGATTAGATTAGGTTAGGTTAGGTTTAACCTGCAGGGCTCTGTACTACAGTCAAGCTATGTGCAATCCGTGCAATAGAACGAATACCAGTCAACGTTTAAAAGCTTGAGAAGAGGATGCTGTAAGTTCTAACATGTGGTCAATTCGTACTTCTTTACCGTGTGTGTATATGTGTGTGTATATTCTTACTACTAATTAACAATATTTATTCAAATGATTTTCTCTATTTTTAGACACGTTTGTGACAAATATGGATGCAATATTTATTTCATTTATCCCTCCATACTACCTTTATTTTACGATGCGGAATGTATCGCGTATATGTATTTCTTCAACTAGCATTCCGTTTTCTTTTTCTTTCTAACATGATCGTATCGATCTTAGATTTCTCTCTGTAAATATTCATTCTAACCCTATTCTTTAATTATTTTATTTTTGTGTATCCAACAGCAATTATTGTTCTCGTCAAAACAATAGACCTAATACTCAAAAATAAAATTACCAACTTTCCACCACTAACATTATCCGTAACTCATTTTTCTAATTACGTATCATTTACTTGATCGATTTGTGTGCAAAATGGTTTATGTTTTGTGTATATGTGTGAGAACCCGGTGTAATTGTTATATCTCATTTTCATACACAATTTTTTTTATACTGTAGTTTATTTTCGATTGTTGATACGCAGCGAACAATGCCTAGACATTCGTTCCTCATATTATTTGTTCTAGTTATTTATTGATTATTATTTTTGTACGACAATATTCTTATTTCTAAATTTCAGGTTGACAAACTTCCGATAAACCATTTAAATTAAGCTAGTTTTCTAGTAATTGAAGGAGCATTTATGTTTTGTTTATATGTCTTGTAGCCGCATATCTATTATAGAATCAAATTTATGAAAGTATTTGACTCTTTTGTAGTATAATAAAGCAGCAGGATAATTTCTAAGAAACAACGAAACGTTTTCTTGTGTTCGAGTTTGTTGTTTATTGATCAAGTTTTGAGATAAGAATAACTCGGTGCGTATTCTATGTTTGTTTACAGTGACGCATTATTTAGTATTTTTATTCAAATATGTATGTAACGTTTATTTAATCATCTGTGGTCTTTTCCTAATTTGTGCATGATAATTTAAGTTTTATAAAATGCTATTTTCTTTTTGCGGATTATTATTTTGTTATTGTTGTTTTGTGGTTCTTGTCTTCTTTCATTTAGTCAGTTTTATGTTTGAACTTTTATTTTTTTATAAAAACAAAGTCAAAAATTCTTAATGTGGGTCATAAGTATAAGAAGTTATCAGCAGATTCAACTTCAGTATATATCACCATCAAATTTTGTTCTAGGTTACGTGTTCTACTAGCCACAGTAAGACCGCCGTTGCCAATCTGGAAATATTTGTATATCAACGATAAGTAGATGTACAATTTTTCGTCAACCTTTTCCAAAGACGAACAATTGGTCCTATAATCTTTTTTACTGAAAAATCGATAAAAAAAAGTAATAAACAAAGAGCCGAAAAGGCATTTGTCTTCTCTCATACACTTGAAGAGGACCCTCCAAGTGATGAAATTTCTTGTCTGCAATGTTTTCAGCAAAGAAATAGTATAGGACAATTTATCCATTTCTAAAGAAGATGAAAACAAACTATTTTAGTGCCAATAACAAGAGTAACCACAATACGTGCTCACCTGCAATACGAAAAGCAGGAGACATTACAAAGATAGATAAATCTGACGCTAGGTGAATTATAAACGAGCTGTTGGAATGAACTAGGATATTGAAAGGTCATAAATGCTCTAAAATGTTTAGTAAACTTGACGAGATCAGAATGGCACAACTATTGTGTCAGTAGGGACCAGAGCTCCTAATCGGGTGAGTTTTTGATGGCCCGCCCGGAACAAGCCGGGCCAAGAAAAATCTAGGCCTGCTCGACCCATCATGCGAATCGGTTGGCCCGACTCGGCCCGAGTGGTAATCTTTCCTGGACCGCCCGGCTCGAGCCCGACTCTAAATTCTTTTTAGACTCAATTCAATTTTGTTATGGCAAAAACACAGTAAAAGCTTTGCTAAAGATTAGTTCAGCAGCAGTATGAGTTAATTAAGAAAACAGAAATAACTTTTTGGCTAAGGAATTTCAAAACATATGAACAATAGCGAGAGAAAGAAGAGAAGGAAACACAAAACAAGGTTAGGAAAACAGATGTGAATCTTTTTCAAGTGATTTTTGAATTGATCGTCCAAATAATATATCTTCTACAGTATCAGGATTTAATGATGATCGTCGTTCATTAATTACAAGACCCACAGCACTAAACTGCCTCTCGACTCCAGCAGACGTTGCTGGAATTGAATATAAATGTCGAGCAAGCTTTGCCAAATATGCACATATTCGAGAGTCTATTGTACAATAAACTCAGTAATGGATAGAATTCCTTTACATGGTGTATTTGTTTCTTCTCCTAGTATCATCCGAATTGATCAGTGATCAAACTCTTTTTCTCAACAGAATTCACTAGATAATAGTAACATACTGTTACTAGGAAATAGCCAAATTTAACTGAAAATATGAAGAAAACTTTTAAAATTTCTCGGGCCGGACCGTAAAAGCTGACCCGACCGAGCTAAAAACTTTTCTCGGACGGCCCGCCCGGCCCGAGAAAAAAAAGCGAATGGCTCGGCCCGGCCTGGTCCGAGACGGATCGGTCCCGGGCCGGGTCATCGAGTCGGGTGGACCGGCAGGAGCTCTGGTAGGGACCCACCTTGGTCTCGCATGTCCCACCAATCAGTAAAAACAGTTCACACAGCAATGTGAGAGAGACAGAGGTATCATAGAAGTTGAAAGATATAAATCCTTTTTTTATCATAAAGTTGAACTCTCTTTCATATACTGATGGCTTTAAAACTATTTTTCAAAAGTTGAAACATGAGAAAATTTCTAAAGAAGTTGATCCGGTTATAACTCGAGTTGGAGGTCATAACTATAAAGATGAGTAGCTAGTTTGTCATACACGATATCGCAAATTTTGTTCGCATTAGACACTTGATCACTAACCGAAAATCTTGAGAATATCACCTGGCACCACTTAATAATTTTTCATCATCGATACAAATAAAGTTCTTATTTGGTAAGTGTTAAACTATTAGATGATGAACGAATCAATCTACCTGTTTGCTCTTGAACCATGTTTTAGAAACAACTGATTATTTAAGTATTAAGAATTACATACAAATATTAAGCTATTTAGCTGCGAGATATATACAGTAGGAGCTTTGCATGCGCTGAAGTTTTGGCACTAAAAACAAATTTGCTTCAACAGACAAACAATTTTTGTTTTCTTCGATTTTACAACCCTATTATGTGACGCAAAGAAAATAAAAATTTCATAAAATAAGGACGGAAAAAAATTAGAAGTACGATCAACTGGAGTTATAACTATCAACTTAGGTTGATAGTTATAACTTCGGTTGATAGTGTTATAACGCCGGTAGATAGTTATAACTATTTGAAATTTTTGACCAAAATTTAAATTAGTTATAACTAGTTCTAACTCCAACAAGTTATAACTTAGGCTGTTTTAAACCCATCAGTGCTTTCATATGAGCAGTTTTGAGTATTAGAAAAAGACTTTTCCTTCTCAGGTGATGCGCCGAACCTAACGTCTATTATCTGTTACGAACATGTTAAATGTACAAAATCTCAAAATATAAATGCACAGAAATCAGCAATGAACCAAAAGTTAGAGCTATTTATAAGCAACATCAGTCGTTTTAATTGTAGACGTTTCTTTGCTTCAGACCTTTTTTATTCCACAATTTCTGTTCAATAAAATGTCAGGATACTGAGTTCACGACACTGATTTACTGATCACCATATCTGAAAGTTCATTAAGGAATGAATGCGGTATATAGATAACTACTAGTAAAACGAAATTCAAATAGACCAAACTCCGACGTGGACTCAGAGTTTAATAATGACATATCTTCATTGTTAGTTGCTACATTGATTATAGGATGATATCTGATGTATATGAACATGCATGTCGGCGTTTCACAAAATATTCTTCTTCTAGATACTCATGAAGTCTTACCTTTCGTATCAGAATTGTCTAAGGAATTGACTGGTGACAGTAGGTCTGGACTGCTACATTTCTCACTGAAAAATGATGAAGAATATTAACAAAATATAGACAAAATATTTTGGCAGTTGAATCAAGCATAAGTAGCCGAAAGATAAAAGAGAATCTTCTGATGAACTTGATAAAACATGTTTGGAGTGTTTTTCTTGTTCCATCTCCATCGTTTTTGTTTTCTGCTTTGTTCTTTCACTTTTGATGTATCTTAACCCTTTGAACTTTTATTTTCAGGGTTGTTTCCCGCTAGACGTCCGTTGACGGCTACCCCCAGATCATTCGTTATTTGTTTATTTTTCTTTGTTTATTTTACTTATTTTTTTCTCGTTTATTCTTCTTCAATTCTTCTCATCTCGTTATCATGTATAAGCGTCGCAAAACACAAGACTCTCCCAAATCGAGTGAATCACAACCACAGACTCTCTGTTCTTGCCAGGCTATCGTCACCGATAATGATAACGCTCTACAATGTGATGCATGCGACACTTGGTTTCACATTGGATGTGTTAACGTTTCACCAATGGCATATACGGCGTATCAAACTCTAGCCGAACAACAACAGTTCTCTAACTGGTTTTGTCCAAAGTGTTTGAACGATAAAAACGTCGATCGTGTTCCACCTCGTTGCCTCCAAACGTTATCCGATCGAATTGACAAGATTGAACATCATTTAACAACTCTTACCAACAAACACGATCAACTTGTTGACCGCCTGGATGAATTGAACGAAAACTTGGAACGTGAGAAGCGACGAAAAAACATCATCGTCAAGAATTTGTCTCCCGTTGAGGGCACAAACGATAAAGATGTTGTCTTCCGTTTCGTTCAAAATCATCTTGGTGTCAAGATTGATCCGTCTTCTGTCGATTCGGTGTGACGATTTAAAAGCTCGTCGGGAACTAATAATAATCGTCCGCCACTTCTTGGTATCGCGTTTAACGACTTGTCTGTTCGTTCGTCGATCCTAGCAAAGGCACCTACCATTAAAAACTCGTCTGACGCTCTTGTCAAAATTGTTTACATCGGTAAGCATTTGACAAAAAACAATCTTTGCAAGCCTTTGAGGCTCGACAACGACGGAATAGGCCGCAAGAAGAACAACAGTAACCAACTACATCATCTGTTGTTAGCAAGAACAATAATCGACCGAATCAAAATAGTAACCTCAGGCGCGACAATATTAATAACAATAATAATAATAGTACCAATAATAATATTCTCAATAATACACAACAAAAACAACAAAAAACAAAACGTTACCATCGCTTGTCTAACCGTTATTGATGTAATGTGACTCAAGCCAAACGAAACGACAACATATTAGCCCACAAACTGAATATTTATTCTCACAGTATCCAAAGTCTTGTTAAGAAGTTTGGTCTCATTAGGAACAAAACTTTCTTCTCTTTTAGTGATTTTGACATTCTGTCATTTCAAGAAACGAATCTCGACGCGACAATTACTGATGGAGAGATGACTCTCTGTGGTTATTCTCTCGTTCGCCGAGATTGAAATCGACACGGAGGAGGTCTCGCAACGTATATTTCCTCTACTTTACAATTTTCTACACTCGCTTCTTTTGATGTTATTGAAGCCTTTTTATTACATGTACAGTCTCCTGCTGACTTTCTTTTATGCAACTGTTACCGTTCGCAATCTGTTCCTGTTGATTTCTTTCTCGATGTTCTTTACACTTTTGTTTCTAACTATTCGTCTGTCTCTCCTAACCTTCTGTTGTGTGCTGATCTTAATCTTAACTTCCATGTG